AAAAAAAAGAAATTTCGGCCAATTAGGCCAACAAAGGTGTAAAATTCAGCAAGCACATCATGTGAACTAGAAATTGTAAAATCTTACTGGATGAAAATCACACAAACTGTTTCATCTTCCTCAGCTGGTTTGCTGGATATATGACAGAAGAAGAGGCCAAAAAGAAACTGCAGAGTGAAAAAAGGGGAGCCTTCTTGGTCCGGTTCAAATGTTACGGTCAACCAGGCTTTTTGCTGACCAAAAAGTCCCGTAATGGTCTAAGTATTGTTGACTTTCCAATCGAGGTAAGAAACATTAAAAATGTTAGGCTTTCTTCATGCTAAAAATATGACTTCAGTAAATTCTTTTGAAAATCTTCACTTCTCACAATTTTTAGGACTTCATTTTGAGCTCTGAATGAGGTCAGAGTTTTGTGTACTAAAATGATTATCTGACAAGATTACAGGGAAACCTGGTTACATGCCAAGGGTAAACTGTATACAAGAGGGAACATTCCCTACAGGGAGAGTAAATGATTCAAGCCTATTGGTGTTGAAGGAAATGTGGACACATAGCATGCAGGCCATTTCTAATCAATTCCAGGCATTGAAATTGTTGGGCTGAAGAAAATAAAACTTAATGTAGATGTAATTTGCTACTCTGTTTTTCTATTTCATTGGATTCCAATATGAACTTCAATATCATGGTAATGTTATCTTTTTTAAAATCCTTCAAATAGGTCGTTAGAGACACAGGAAAACTATCATTTAATGATCGAGATTTCCCAGATCTTCCCTCCTTGATGACAGAGTTGAGGAAGTCATGGATGACAGACCTACAACCTTTTTATTCTATGGAAGGATTTTGAAGAAACCCAACCCTAACAAAGTTTTATCAAGGAGCCAGGTTCTAAATATATTATTAACTTTTCATTCCCAACCTGTCATATGTAATTTTCAAAACTATACATTACTGTAGTTCCTTTGACAGCTGAGAATTTATGTAATTTCTGATGTTTGACTGACATGGGAACCAATATGTCAGAAATTTTTATTCTGATGGCATTTTGAAGTGGTTTGTGTAGCATCATGGAAGTTTTGGATCATTTAAGCATTTTGCAGGAAAATTAAGTCATTCTAGGTCGGTAAGTCTTACGTTTGACCACTTTCTTTTTTATATTTCTTGTAATTTTGGTAGTAATTAATACTGCAACCAGGTTAGTTTACCCAGTCCTCAGGGTATTGTGCTGCAGCATTTGATGAGGAACACATTTCCACTCATTTTTTGGCCACATTCAATGAGTGGTTTTTAGTGGTTTTTTTATATCTGGTGCAGCACAGGTTCTTCATGTAGAACCCCTAGTTTTAGACTATATATTATAATATTGTATCAGGATCTGTATACTAGAAGACTGACCGACTCATCCTGAATAAACTTTTCACAATGAATGTCTTGTGTGAGTGTAGTCAGAATGATTTCATATCAAGGTTAATCCTTATTAATCACAATAATCTACATAATTTATACAAACTTCCTGCTTCAATTAATTTTGGGACAGTAGTGAGTTTCTAAGAGTATTTTACGCACTGATCACCAAAGTCAAAGGGGTCAAAGCTCTGACGACAATATTTTATATAAAGCGTATATAATGCAATCAAACACATAGTAATTCTCATGGTTCTGCCATTAAGTTAACCTATAACACTGAGTTGTCAATAAAACTGTCCCTAGGTATATAATACAGTGACATACAATGTTATTCTCCTGATTCTACCATCAAATTAATAACAATATACAGTAAGTTGATTTATTCCAGTTGATTGGTATCAATTGACAACCACTTTCAATGCTTAATGGTGACATCAATGGCTTACCCATACAAATGCTAGACATTGATTAGTTCTTGAAAATCAGTATCAATCAATTTATTACTATTCATTGGTATTGATTGATTGTGATTGTCACCAATAATTGTTTTCATTGATTGGATACCCCAGTTGTTCTCAACCATGGTAGGTTCCCTTTGGAGGGGCCAGGGTCGGGGGAAAGTTTACCCCACCTATCTAAAGTCCTAACATCCATCTAAAAATGTCTCACCTCAAGGAATTAGATGAGTGGTTCTTCGCCAAGTAATGTAGCCGTGTTTTGTGGACCGTGCTTTAGCAAAAAAATTAAATATCTTGATTAAATAAAAAATTTTATAGGAAAAGAAGGAAATCTAAATTAACTAGCCCAGGAAATCCATCACGGGCGCGCGCACTGAATCTAAAGTTGTTGCGCGCTCAACAGTTCCACTGAACAGTAGCACGAAGTAGCTCTTCCAGTTTGAGCCCAACTGCATGAGCTCCAGGAGTTTTGAATAGTATATTTTGTAACAAAATGTATCATGAATTCTCTAACTTACCAAGACTTTTCCACGTCCACATTCCGAGCAATCTGCCTCACAAACAAACTAGCAACTAAGCAGTAAAAAAGTAAACACTGGCACTAATCGTGTGGTAAGGTCAGCCGCTGACCGCTCACGTGAACTCCATCATGCCGTGACGTGCAAGGAATGACAACCCTCTCCCGAACTCTTTTCTCCCACTTAAGCGCTCTATCCTTTTTTTTCCAATTTTTCGTAGATATACACCATTACTGACAGTCTAAATTAGACTTGCCATTGTTACCTGACTGCAGATCTTACGAGAGCCAACTGGTGTTCGCCAATTAACAGTTTTGTGAGGCTGACGAAAGTCGAGATATTTGTTAACGAGAATTCTTGTTATTAGATGCGATGAGATA